CTGGTGTCACCACTTCTGTTTTTCTCCCTGGCAGACTAGCCACCAGAGGGATCCTATTAAAATGCCAGATACTTTTCTCCTCCTTCTCAATGCCCTCTCAAGAAGAGTTTGGCAATTCTTGAGCCTGAGTCAGGGGTGTACCCTGAGGCAATGACGATTCCTTGACGCAGGAAGGGTGGGAGAGAGGAAATACAGGGAGGAAGTGCGCTTGGGAAATGAGTCTCCAGAAGCCTAGGCCACCAGCTACTTTTAGGGCCCTCAGAGCAGCTCTTAGCTCTAGCAGACCTCCAGAGGCGGGATGCAGAACCAGAGCACAGGCTCGGAGGCTGGAGTGAGAGTGGGGCTTCCTCTCATTCCTAAGCGTCTGCTCCCGGAATGCCAGGATCGTCTGCAGCAGCCTCCCCCGACGCTACAGAAATCGAAACTGGCTTCACGGGTTTCCTATGAACCAACAGGCCAATTTAATCAAAGCCCACAGCATACTGCTGTGCTGAAAAGGGTTGACTCCACCTGTACCATGAACTACTGACTTTAAAAACAACAACCTTTATTGAGGGATATTTGATACGTATAAAAATCGCACATATGTAATGCATACAATTTAATGAGTCTGACCAGATGTGTATACCTGCAAAACCATCACCAAAATTAAGGTAACAGACATAGCCAGCACCTCTAAAAGTTTCCTTATGTCCCTTTGGTTTCATTTGGTTTGTTTTTTGTGAGATTATGAGATTACCCTCTTCAATTTAAAATGTATAAGATGGTATGTTGACTATAGGTTCTATGCTGTACAGCAGATCTCCAGAACTAATTCATCTTGCATAAGTGAAACTTTTACCAGTTGGAAAACTCCCATTTCCCCTTCCTCCCCTCAGCCCCTGGTAACCACTGTTCTAGTCTCTGCTTCTAGGAGCTTGACTATTTTAGGTCCCTCTTGCAAGTGGCCACAAGACTGGAAAAAGTCAGTTTTCATTCCAATCCCAAAGAAAGGCAATGCCAAAGAATGCTCAAACTACTGCATAGTTGCACTCATCTCACATGCTAGCAAAATAATGCTCAAAATTCTCCAAGCCAGGGTTCAACAGTACGTGAACTATGAACTTTCAGATGTTCAAACTGGATTTAGAAAGGTCAGAGGAATGAGAGACCAAATTGCCAAGATCTGCTGGATCATAGAAAAAGCAAGAGAGTTCCAGAAAAGCATCTACTTCTGCTCTATTGACTATGCTAAAGCCTTTGACTGTGTGGATCACAATAAACTGTGGAAAATTCTGAAAGAGATGGGAATACCAGACCACTTGACCTGCCTCCTGAGAAATCTGTATGCAGGTCAAGAAGCAACAGTTAAAACCAGACATGGAACAACAGACTGGTTCCAAATCAAGAAAGGAGTACGTCAAGATTGTATATTGTCACCCTGCTTATTAACTTATATGCAGAGTACATCATGAGAAATGCTGGGCTGGATGAAGCACAAGCTGGAATCAAGACCGCTGGGAGAAATATCAGTAACCTCAGATATTCAGATGACACCACCCTTATGGCAGAAAGCAAAGAAGAACTAAAGAGCCTCTTAATGAATGTGAAAGAGGAGAGTAAAAAAGTTGGCTTAAAACTCAACATTCAGAAAATTAAGATCATGGCATCTAGTCCTATCACTTCATGGCAAATAGATGGGAAAACAATGGAAACAGTGACAGATTTTATTTTGGGGGGCTCCAAAATCACTGCAGATGGTGACAGCAGCCATGAACTTGAAAGATGCTTGCTCCTTGGAAAAAAAGTTATGACCAACCTAGACAGCATATTAAAAAGCAGAGACAAAAAAAAAAAAAAGCAGAGACATTACTTTGCCAACAAAGGTCCGTCTAGTGAAAGCTATGGTTTTTCCAGTAGTCATGTATGGATGTGAGAGATGGACTATAAAGAAAGCTGAGCACCAAAGAATTGATGCTTATGAACTGTGGTGTTGGAGAAGACTCTTGAGAGTTCCTTGGACTTCAAGGAGATGCAACCAGTCCATCCTAAAGGAAATCAGTCCTGAATATTCATTGGGAGGACTAATGCTGAAGCTGAAACTCCATACTTTGGCCACCTGATGGGAAGAACTGACTCATTTGGAAAGACCTTGATGCTGGGAAAGATTGAAGGCAGGAGGAGAAGGGGATGACAGAGGTTGAGATGGTTGGATGGCATCACTGACTCAATGGACATGAGTTTGAGTAAACTCTGGGAGTTGGTGTTGGACAGGGAGGCCTGGCATGGTGCTGTCCATGGGATCATAAAGAGTTGGACACGACTGAGCAACTGAATGAACATGCAAGTGGAATCATTCAGTAGTTGTCCTTCTGTGACTGCCTTATTTCATTTAGCATGATGTCCACAGGTGCATCTGTGGAATTTTAGAGATTTCTGCCCTCCTGTGTTCACTGCAGCACTTCTCAGAATGGCCAAGGTATGGAGACAACCTAAATACCCATTGACAGATGAACAAAGGAGATGTGGTACATATATATGGTGGAATATTATTCAGCCTTTAAAAGAAGGAAAACATATCATGAGCTTCTGGGAGGAGCTGCCTGTGGAGCAGGAAGGATATGTATATTGAGAAGTAGTAGACAGAAGTCTAGAACATTCTTCTCAAAGGCCAGTGGGTACTGGGTTACTTTGGAGTTGAGGGAGAGATAACGTAAATACAGCAAAGGAGAATATTAAGGGCCCAGAAATCAGAGGAAGTAAGGATTGTTAGAAGTTCTTTCTAATTGCTGCAAGGAATCGATGAACATTGTGACCAGGTTTTCCTCATGTCTCATTTATTGCAGCATAACAAATCACCTCCAAACTCGATTTTAAACCATGAGAATTTATCACTGCCTACAAGTCCTCAGCTGATTTTGGTGGTTCCTTTGGGTCTTGACTGGGCTCATTCATGCAGTTTCTGTCAGCTGTGGGATCTATTAATCATGACTGCACCCTCTGTCTCCCGTGTTTGGGCAGGTCCACAGGCTTCTCTCAGAGAAGGCAATGGCACCCCATTCCATTACTCTTGCCTGGAAAATCCCATGGACGGAGGAGCCTTGTAGGCTGCAGTCCATGGGGTCTCGAAGAGTCAAACATGACCGAGCGACTTCACTTTCACTTTTCACTTTCATGCATTGGAGAAGGAAATGGCAACCCACTCCATGTTCTTGCCTGGAGAATCCCAGGGACGGGGGAGCCTGGTGGGCTGACGTCTATGGGGTCGCACAGAGTCAGACACAACTGACGCGACTTAGCAGCAGCAACAGCAAGGTCTCTTAAAACTAGAATATTCTGTGTTTTTAGGTAGAAAAGATTTTTTTAGAAGTGTTTTAATTGTTAAATGCAGATTAATAATTATAATGAACACTGATGATTATATTCACCAATGTTAAGTAGCACATAGATTCTAAACGTATAGATATACAAAACAATGATTCTCCTGGGACCATCCAGTGTTCTTGCCTGGAGAATCCCAGGGACGGGGGAGCCTGGTGGGCTGCCATTTATGGGGTCGCACAGAGTCGGACACGACTGAAGCGACTTAGCAGAAGCAGCAGCAGCAACAGGCTGCTCTAGGGTGGCTCAGAATGAGACTCCTGGGCTGCCTCCCATGGGCTCTGGTCAATGGACTGTGGCATGCAGGATGTTAGTTCCCCAGCCAGGGATCGAACCCTCACCCCTTGCAGTGGAGGCACAGAACCTTAATCACTGGACCGCCAGGAAAGTCCTGGAAAAGGGTCTTTTGTTACCTTCACCTAACATGACGAGGCTGTGACCCCTCATTTGACTGGCTTCTGCATACATCTGTTTGTGTCTGCGTGTGAGGAACAGGCAGAGACACATGCTCACTGAGAAGAAAAGAACTTCATTTAATCATAAGGCTATGGGAGCCAAGAGACCTTTTGGTTTATCCTTGTTTCAGATGAGCAAACTGAGGCAGTGAGGCCAAGCAGTTCTTGCCAGTTCACACAGCCAGCCAGCTACTGAGTCTGGGCCAGAACCCAGGGGTCCTGCCTCCCTTGATACCAACTGCAAGTCTGGGTTTCAAAAACCACCCTTGGGTTGAGTAATTTGCTGCAAGGAATCACAGAACTCACTGAAAGATGTTATACTCACAGTTTATTTCTGGGAAAGGACAGAGATCAAAATTAGCCAGAAGAGTAGATACAGAGGTAAGAGTATGGGAGGGTTCCCAGTGCAAAGCTTCTATTGTCCTCAGAATGTCTGATACTCATGGTGTTGATATTAATGTACAGAATATTCATGGAGTGTGGTCAACCAGGGAAACTCAATTAAGCTTCAGTGTCTTGAGGTTTTATTGGGGCTTCATCCCATAAGCATGAGTCATTGATTTATTGTCCATGGGACCGAACTTAAGATTCCAGCCCCACCCCACTCCCTGGAGGTCAGACTGATATCACTTGGCCTGAGTCATCTCATTAGCATAAACTATCTGGCAAGAGCTAAGGGGCCCACCAAGAATAACAAAGACACTCCCATCACTTGGGAAATTCCAGAGGTTTAAAAGTTTCCTCCCAGGAACCAGGGACAAAGGCCAGACCAATTTGGGTAAAGCCAGGTTCTTCACTACACACCTTACATCTGTTACATCTCGGGAGCCATAAAAAAGCCTGAGCACAGAAGAATTGATGCTTTCGAACTGTGGTGTTCGAGAAGACTCTTGAGAGTCCCTTGGACAGCAAGGAGATCAAATCAGTCAATTGTAAAGGAAACCAACCCTGAATATTCATTCGAATGACTGATGAAGCTAAAGCTCCAATATTTTGGCCACCTGATGTGAAGAGCTGACTCACTGGAAAAGACCCTGATCCTGGGAAAGATTGAGGGCTTGAGAAGAAGGGGCGACAGAGGATGAGATGGTTGGATGGCATCAATGACTCAATGGGCATGAGTTTGAGCAAACTCCAAGAGACAGTGAAGGACAGGGAAGCCTGGCATGCTGCAGTCCATTGGGTCACAAAGAGTTGGACAAGACAGAGACTGAAAAACAATAAAAGGAAGTTCCAATAAAAAATAAAAATAGCTATACTGAGTGTGCGCTAGGTGCCAAACACTGTACACATATTTTGTCAAATTCTCACAACAACCCTGCAAAGCTGATGTTTGGTCCTTTTTTACTGATGATAAAATTGAAGCTCAGAAAGTTGCCTAAAGTTGCCTAAAGTTTTAGAGCTGGAAAACAAACAGATCTGACTATGCTGACAAACTCCTTGGGTCCTTAGATTCATGTTGCCAACTTCATTCTTTCATTTATTCATTCAACAAACATTTATTCAAGCCCAACTATGTGCCAATAACAGCTTTAGGTGTTGAAGATGCAGCAAAGAACAGACAAAAATCTCACTCATATAGAGTTGATATTCAAATGGGGGAGATAGATAATAAGCACTAAATGTGTAAAATAAATATTTTGAATAATTTAAAGCAATGCATGTAGTTTGTATGTGTGCATTTGATTCAAACTTAACTGTAACAATTGTGAAGTTTGACTGTGGACTGCTATTATATATTATTAGTTTTGTTACATTTGATGATGACACAGTTACTATGTTTTCCCAAAATAAAGATACTTATCTATGAAAGATGCAGGCTAAAGTATTTATGGATAAAATAAAATTATAAAATGTTGCTAATTATTGATGTTGGATGATAAGATACACAAAGAAAGACCTTTATATGTTCTAATTCAGTGTGTATTTGAACACTTTGTTAGTACAAAGTACAGTTTTTTGCTTTTTTTTTTTTGGTTGGTTGCTTGTTCTTTAAGTGGATGGGGTAACAGATAGGATGTATAAGAGGTATTGCAAGACCAAAAAGCAAATCAAGGAAGACTTCACTAAGGTTACAGTGAAGCAAAGACTTGAAGGAGACAGGGAAGAGATTTATGTGGTTCTCTCGGAAAGAACATTCCAAGCGGAAATGGGAGCCCTGAGGTGGAAGAGTGCCTGCTATGGCATGTTCAAAGCATAAAAAGCCAACTGCTGGAAAGGGGTGATCATTGAGTAAAATTGTAGGAGGTAGCATCAGAGTTCAGAGATGGATGAGGAGGAGAGGAAATGCATACAGAACCCTATTCAACAGGGAATTCACATCCAAATTATGTAAGCATACACACAAAACACTAAGGGATAGTGCAGTCAACTTCATAGAAAAACTGGCAAAAGACTTTAGCTGGCACTTTACAGAGAAAGTTATGGCCAATCAGCAGAGGAAAAGGTGTTCTATTTTATTAGGCATTAGGGAAATGCAAATTAAAACCACAATGCCACGCTTTCACATACCCATAGATAAGAGGCAGGCAATGCTAGGTATTAGAGAGGAAACAGAATTCTCATACACTGCTGGTGGGTATGTAAACTGGCACACGTGGTGTCTACCAAAACTAAAAATCATGCAGCACTCTTAAGCAATCCACCCCATTTCCAGGTATATATCCAACAGAAAGCCATGTAAATATTCATCGAACACTGGAAAAGTGCAGCACTCTTTCTTAACAGCCCAAACTGAAAACTATTCAAATGCCCAGTGACAATGGGCTACTCTACCGTATTCAGAATAACAAATGAAAGAAATGAATCTCATAAAAACAGCAAGCAAAGGAAGCAGGCACAAAGGGCCTAACACTATGTGATTCCAGTTATGTAAGTTCAGAAACAAGCAAACTTAATCTGTGCTGTTAGAAGACACAGTAGTGGTTACCACTGTGGAGAAAGTGACTGGATAAGAGCTTGTGGGAGGTGAGGGGAGGGGAGCTGATGACAACCTGTTTCTTGATCTGGATGCTGGCTAAGTAGAAGAGTTCAGTTTGTAAGCAGCCACCACTGATCATCACCACTGATGATGTGTATAATTTAGATACTTTTCAGTATCTGTATTATAGTCAATAAGCATTAAAAAAAAAAATCATGCAGGAATGCCTTAGTTCCCTCCTCTGAACTACCGGTGAAAACACCCAGCCACCCCTACCCGCTTCATGCTGCATGAGAGGGACGCAAAGCACTGTGCATTTTTGGCTTAAGAAAAGAAGACATGCTTTCTCAACTCACAGCTGCAACCCCTACGTTTAAAGCTGCTGAAGCCATCGCAGGGAGCTCTCTGGCTCATGGGAGGGGGGAATCTAAGAACTGGGCAAGACTGTAAATAAAGTCTGAGAACTCTCTCCCCTAATAGATGTTAATAATGTACCTTACTCAGAGAGTCGGACTCGACTGAGCACACACACACACACATTTCATATTATGCAACAGAACAATTTCAAACACAATCATGATGCTAGTTAGGTTATGGCATTGTTTTGAGAGCCATCATTTTGAGTTTAAAGAAAAAGAAATTGAATATTTTAAGTGTAGGCATCATGAGCTCTTTTTAAAACCAATTTTAAAACCAAAATTACAACTTTTCAAACTAGAGGCACTGAAACATCCTACAGGTTTTCATTTCTAACAAGATGCAAACAGCATACAAAAAGCATGTTGGGGGCCTCACTTTAAAAAAGAGAGTAATAGTCTCAACCTGAGATCAAAAAAATGAGAAAATCACTGTGGATTTTCCGCAAACCTACTGATAGGTCTATTTCTTCCTATGCCCTCATAAGGAGCTATTGTTTCGGAATTCTAAGAATTTCAAATAAGCACCTGGTTAGGACCAGTTTATCAGTCCTTCTGGCTCAATAAGCTGCTTTTCAGTGACCTCAGGGACTTTGACCAAAGTCAGCTTGTTTCCTCCTTGGCATTTTGGTCTATTTTGGTTTGGGGGTTTTATTTTTTCCCCCTATATTATTTTTTCACTTCTTTAGATTTAATTTTCACTTTTATCATTGTTTCCTTTCCCACAGTTTTTCTTTTTTAAAGCTAGTTTCTTGCTATTTGCTTTTGTTCCACTTTATCCTTCTCTGGCATCGTGTTTTGATTTGCCATAAAGACCAGTTCATGGGGTGAATTTTGAACCGATTTGATTTGGACCAAGCTTCTCATCAGCTCTTCCCAAACGTAAGCTGACATTAGGACACCTTGACTCCAAGCACAGCAGTGAGTCCGCGGTGCTGAGGGGCCCCTGAGCCTTCTCTGCTGAGGAGACACTCAGATTCACATGGTCTGCAGACCTCCGAGACCGTCGGCAAGGGAGGCTGGGATCCAGCACATCCCGGCTGGGAAAGCGACAGCCGTGAAGATTGTTGATGAGACTGGACAGAACTCTTCCAGCCTCCGGAGACAGTCCCACAAAGCAGGAATCATGAAGGCTTGGATCATCCCAACAAAGTGAAATCTCTAAAGTGACCAAGGCTGAGGAAACTCCCCACCTTGTTCGGAGGATGCTAGTGGAGGAGAGGCGTGTGAGCAGCCGTGGCTGAGGGCAGTGGGAAAGCACAGAGGCTGAAGGCAGAGTCCACAATAGTGTGTGCTGTGTGGTCACCAGGCGGGTGCTGTCCACAGAGCTTTACAAGCAGAAAATCTGCTCTTGGATGTGAACACGAACATCAGACTTCAACTTCTTCAGCAACAAATTCACCTTTTACTACAAGCTGGACAACTTCTGGGGTGGTCCCCCTCATGCTGCCCTGGAACTCTCGTAGTGAAAACCACAAGAAGTCATCCTGGCCACAGTGTGATGGATTCCTGCCTTTTGATGGACAGAACTTCAAGGAGCAGCCAGAGGGGTGCTAGAACAGAATACATTAGGTTCACTTTTGGATGGATGGTTATGGAGTGAAAAGCTGTTTAAGAAATCTCTGATTCTCAGTAAGAAATAAGAGCAAATTATGAAGGATCCATGGATTATTGTGGGTCATGGATATGAGGAACTAAAGCTCTACATGGAGCCACTCTCTGACTATCAGGACTCTGGGCAGACTGACTTCATGGCATCCATGGTTACACCTGGAGATGGAGATTCAGGACTCACTGATTGGCCAGAAATGGGAGGCAATGTTCCAGTATCCCCCCTGGGTTATAAGAGATCTGAGCTGGAGGGCTGCCGAATCACGCTGAAGCCTCAGCCCTCAGCTGATCTAACCAACAGCAGCCTTCCTTCCCCACCCGCTACGTGAGGGGATGGCATCCCCACCAACTACAAGCAGCACATCCCCACCTCTAACTGCTACTTAGAGCATTCAGAGGAGGAAGGTGATCTGGAGGGCGGAAGATCACAGCACAGCCAGCTGCCCGCAGCGAAGACGACCACCCCTGTCCCCTGCCAACAGCACCCTCTCCACCAGCACAATCAGCACAGCCCCAGCCTGTCCCCATGCTCACCCTTTCCCCTGCAAGGTCAGCAGCTGGAGTGGAGCCCCGGGTCTGTCCAAAGGGAACTCCGCCCACAGGGGTGGCCTCACAGGTGCCAAACCCCAGGCTTCTGCAAGGAGGTGAGACCCCAGTCTCTCCCCGTGGAGCTTCTCCAGGAAGTTCAAGTTCAAATCTATGGGAAGAAATTGAGGTTTGTCAGAGGAACCTGAATGAACCTGAAAGCAAAGACACAGGGAAGACCCTCCACCTTCACGTGGTGGGCAGCAGAGGCAGTGATAAGACAGTGAGCTGTGCCCAGTACACTGCAGATGGAGGATGGAGACCACGAGCTGCTTCGAGAGACAGGAGATGATGCGGGGACAGAAGACAACGTGGGGACAGGAGACAATGTGGATACAGGAAATAATGCAGATACAGGAGATGATGCAAGGACAGGAGATGATGCGGGTCAGGCGCTTCTCCAAGAGAGTAGTTGCTGTTGAAGTTACAGTTGAAGTGTCTCCACGGCCTCCTGGAGCATTCATTGCCTCCAGATCCACCCCTGGAGGACCAGAGAAAGGGCTGCTCTGAGCTGAGGCCACGCTCACACGCCTGGACCAAACCTCAGCCAGTGTTTCCATGTGTCCCTGCTCCTGCCATGATCCCCTCTTCTCTTCCACTGAGCGCAGAGCTCTGTAAGATGAACATAGGCAACTCCAGTGAGAACACACAGCTGTTTACTCAGAGCTGCTCAGTCGACGGAGTCACCACTCTCACTCAGGTTTGGCGGGGAGCCCAGGCCGGCAGGGTGGAGGAGCGCTCCCAGGTGGAAAGGGAAGGCTGGGAGTGCATAGATTGGAGGCTGGTGGCCAGTGGCCGCCTCCCCTCTCCGCTCCACTGGGACCATGGAGACTGATCATGGGGTTTCTTGGGAGGGGCTTGGACTGGGGCTTGGCGAGTTCTCTGTCCAGTCCTCCCAGGCTCACTTCTAATCAATATGCTCCCCTCAATTCTCCTTCAAGCAAATGCAACATGCTCCCACCCACCCACTGACCCTGGGCCTCGGGCTGCAGAGGTAAGGGGTAGGGGCTCTGGCCTCCTTCTGCCCCGAGCCCTGAGCCCTCCTCCTTCCCCAAAGATGTTTCTCCACAAGGTGCTGTTCAAGGGTGTTTGTCCCCTTGTCAGCTCTGTGCCATCGCCTTCCCCACCACCCTCTGGGACCTGGAGTGTGGAGGGCTGCAGAGACCTTAGGGCCCCCTGGGGTCCCCTGGGCTGTGGGCCTTCCTGGTGACAGGGACGCTGAGCACCTGCATCTAGGAGGGCCTTTGTCTGAAAGCACCACTACGCACCACCCTCTTCCCCATCGTGTCCCTGGGTCCACCACGATCTGGGTCACAGCTAGTTCCTCACAGGGAGCCCCCCCATCACTGCCCCACCTCTCTGTCTCCCAGCCATCGCTTCCTGACAGGATTGCCTGTTCGTGGACTGGGGGACAGACTGGGCGGAGTGGACCCCTCCTGGTAACCCTGCAGCTGGTGTGGGTGCAGGCCGTGGGTGCCAGCTGCTGCTGGCATCACACCCCTTATCTAGACCAAGCACTCCCCTTCCCTCCACTCCCTCTTTTGCTTGGAGGGGCCCAAGAAAGCCTCGCTTTGTTCCCAGCTGGGGTGGGGACTGGGCAATCCAGGCAAGCGGCCCCTCCTCACCCAGCATCCCCTCCTGCACTTAGCTTCCCCTAGGAATAAGACAATGTTGTGAGGGGGAAACTTTAGTTCTCTATAAATAACTTTTAGTCTGAGAGGAATGGGGAGACTTTGGGGAGAGTCTTCACAGAGAGCTGACACTGGCTGACTTATGTCTTATCAGGAAAGCAAGAGTTTGGCATTTTCATCTCCCACAGGGTGAAGCAACCTCTCCACCCCACTATAGCTGATAAGGCTGGGGAAAGCTCAGACATTCAAGGGATTGCAGGGTGCAACACGCAAGGGTCCACAGAGCAAGTAGATCAGGTGGGGAACAGTGAATGAACTGATTATAAAATTACCAGACTGATGTCACCCTGTGGCTCTAATCTACACAACTAGAAGGAAAACCCAAGAGATAAATTACTCTCCTGAGGGAACCACCTGAAATGAAACACTTGCTTAGATCTTTGTTTAAATATTATTGTCAACAGCCTGATAAAATTTTTATAAAACAATGTTTGTGATGGACAGATAGATACAACACTTGAATCCGGACATCATTTGACATCCCATTTGATCCAGTTATAACTAGAGCTGAATAAATCTTTGAAACTCCCAGGTATTCAAATAAATAAATTACCTTTCAGCCAGTTAGTTTGAGATGAGTTTCTGTCATTTGCACCCAAGAGAATCTAGAATAAACAAATATTTGAATAAAATTGGCACTTAACATTTGTTAATTCTGTTTGAACTACAGATATAAATGGACTTATGTGAGAGTACTTTTAATTCATAACAGAAAGAAATAGAAAATAAATGGAGAAATGATTATAGATATTTATAATCCTTCATCTGCAAGAGCTTTGTTAAATTTCATTTTATTTATAATTTTTCTTAGCTTTTAATGTTTAATTTTTCTTAATATATGTACATGGGACAAAAGCATGTTTAACAAAAAAGGTCAAGGTCCTACTATATTTTGAAAAACTTTTACATTCCAGACAAGGCAGGTTCTACTTGTTATTGGAAAGGAAGAAACTTTGACATAGATTTAAGGCCAATGTAAAGAACAGATTTAAAAACAACTATTTACAAAATATGAGGGAAAAGGAGCAAAGAAGATTGCATTTGTGATTAATTATGGTAATAGTACAAAACTAGGGTCAATTAAACATTTGTCTAGCACTGATGCCCCTTTAGCCTCAATACACACACACATACACATAAAGCAGTTATTCAGCTTAACAGGTTCTAGGACACTAGATTAAATTTAAATAGTACCTAAAATGTATATGAGAATTTTATGATAGCTCCCACTAATCATCAAAAAATGAACAAAAAACTCATCTCTACTCCCTCTTATAACTCCACTGAAATAAGAGTAAACAGATTCAATTAAAAGTTCAACCATAAAGAAAAATAAAAGTGGCAGGGAGACAATAGCAATAAGCGTCTGGAAGCACAGAGTACTGGGTTTGAGCTCCCTGTGTGATACGGCAAATTTCCACTGGCTAGTTTGCAGTGGGAGGTGGGAGGGAGGCTCTAGAGGAGGGGACATACATATCCCTATGGCTGATTCATGTTGATGTACGGCGGAAACCAACAGAAGAGGCACTTCCCTGATGGTCCAGCGGCTAAGACTCTGCACTCCCAGTGAAGGTGGCCTGGGTTCGATCCCTGGCCAGGCCCCCTGTCGTGATCAGGTGGGTGGAAAGCTGGGGGAGTTAAGGCAAGTCTGAACACAGAGTGTTCAGTCTGTATCTGTCTTTATATATCTACATCTATATCTCTTTGCCACTGGCTGAAGACTGGAGGTTTACTCCCTGGAGATGCTCATTCAGCAAAGCTCTGGACTCCGGGGCCCCAGCCTCCCGCTGGAGGTGGTAAGGCTGTGCTGAGGGGAGCAAGTGAGAATCGATATACCAACAATGTGAGCCTCTTGTCCACTAGGATCCCTGAATACTGTGAGTTAATTTAGGGTACAGCTTTCAGGCTACCTTTACCTTCTTTCTGCTCATTATTACATGTTTTGAATTTTTTACAATGACATGTATTATTTATGTATGTAGACTAAATTCAGGAGGTAAATTACTTCCGAGAGACGTACCAGACCCAAAGAATGTGTTGCTTTGCTCCAACAAAGAATTGACATCTTGAAGAGCAGCTAAGTTGGAGTGACCCTCCAATGAAGCTGATAATCCACTGTTATTCACCAAGATCCAACTGCCTTTTGCAGACTTAACTCAACTATCCTTTAGAGAGCAATTGGGGTTAAGATCGCACAACTGATAAATATCTGACCATAATTCAAACCCATTTGCTGGGCCCCAAAGTCTAAGCGGAGGTCCCGCACATGCATGAGACCTCTGTATCGAGTTGCCACTCACAAGTCTTGACTTGCAGCTCTAGCACTAGAAATTCGGAGAAGGCAATGGTAGCCCACTCCAGTACTCTTGCCTGGAAAATCCCATGGACGGAGGAGCCTGGTAGGCTGCAGTCGATGGGGTCGTGAAGAGTCAAACACGACCAAGCGACTTCACTTTCACTTTTCACTTTTCACTTTCATGCATTGGAGAAGGAAATGGCAACCCACTCCAGTGTTCTTGCCTGGAGAATCCCAGGGACGGGGGAGCCTGGTGGGCTGCTGTCTGTGGGGTCACATAGAGTCGGACACGACTGAAGCGACTTAGCAGCAGCAGCAGCAGCACTAGAAATTAGTTAGTCTCAACTTTTTGGTAAGAGAATACATTTTAAAAAAAAATTACCCTCTCCCAAACATTAAATGAATTGTAAGATGGATACCAAAGTAAGAACCATTCCTCCTGCGAAACCTGGATGATCTCTGATGATGTTTGAATAGTAACCGGCTTTCCAGGCGGTTTGGTAACGAATCAACATCCTTAACGGCCCAGACCGGCGCGAGCGGAAGGGTTGCTGAGAAGCCGAGTGTCCACCGCCCTCCGGCCTCACCCGCGCTTGGAGCCCCTGCTCCCCGGACTCGGACCGCGGAGCCCGGCAGAGCTCGGGAGGCACTGAAGCGCCAGGAGAGACTGTGACCACGACAAATTCACTTACAAGTTGCCCACTGAGGGTGGGAAGAGCTTCGACTCTGTGGCCAAACTGCAGAAGGCGAGGAGCTCGGAGGAAGAGCGAAGGGTTTCACCCCGGGGACGGTGCACCGAGGCGAGAGCCATTGAGGGGGGATGTGGACACGGAGAAGGCCCAGGGTGCTGACAGCGACTCGAGACTTTCGTTACAGCTTCTGGTTGTTCCTCTGCAGGAACAGCAGGTCGTCTAAAAAATCCTCACACAACAGGGCTGCAGGTCCCCTTCACAAGCGGTGGAGACAGTTCAGAGGCGAATCTGCCGAGGGCGAGCTCGGGCCTTCCCGCTGCAGAACCAGGCAAAGAAAATGATCAGGATAAAGAAGGGACATACATAATGATAAAAGGGTCGATTCCCCAAGAAGCTGTGTCAGTATTTAACAGGGATGGACCTAACAACGGAGTCAAAATTTGTGAGGCAAAGATGGATAGAATTACAAGGAGAAATAAACCAATCCACTATGACTCCAACACCCCTCTATCAGAAATGGACAGATCCAGCACGCACAAAATCAGTAAAGATGTAGCTGACAGGAAGAGCACCAGCATCGATTGTATCTGTTGACATCTAGATTACTTCATCCCAACAAATGCAGAGTATATATCTTTATCAAGCTCGCGTCCAACATTCACTAAGATAGACTACATTCTGGGGCAGAACACGGACTTTAACAAATTCAAAAGAACAGAAATAGAATACTCTGCACCACAGTGGAATTAAACTAGAAATCAAAACAGAAAGGTAGCTGGTAAACCTCCAAATAGCAAAAATTAAATAATATAGTTGATACATAAGTAAAAAAAAAGTCTCAAGAGAAATTTTAAAAAATTTTATGAACTAAATGAGAATACAACTTATAAAAACTGGTAGGACCAGTAAAAGCGATATTAACAATATGGAAAATATACAGCATTGAAGGCATGTATTAGAAAAGAAGAAAGGTCTAAAAAAAAAAAAAAGATCTAAAACCTAAGCCTCCACCTTAGTAAACCAGAAGACTAAATCCAAACTAAATAGAAGAAAAGAATAAAAATGAGGACAAAGATCAATGAAACTGGATATAGGAAATCAATAGAGAAAATTAAGAAAACCAAAAATGGTTCTTTGAAAGATCATTAAAACTGATAAACCTCTAGCCAGGCTAAACAAGAAAGAGAAGACACAAACTGTCAATATCAGACATGAAAAAAGGGCCATCACTATTGATCCCACAGACATTAAAACAACAATAGAGGAATATTATTAACAACTCCATGCTCACAAATTCTGTAGATCTTTTTAAAGAACCAAATTTAGATATTGCTTATTTTCTCTATTTATCCTTTCTCTAATCTTTTTTATTTCTTTTCTCCTATTAACTTGGGTTCAGTTTTCTCCTCTTTTTCTAGCTATTTAATGTAAACAATTGATTTGAAAGCTTTCTGAATCATTATTGTATGCTTTACAGCTATAAGTTTCCCGCCTAGCACTGCTTTGGCTGTATCTCATACTTTTTGATATGTTGAATTTTTATTTCCATTTTTCTCATGCTATTCTCATTTCCCTTGTGATTGCTTCCTTGACCCATTGATTATTTAAGTGTATGTTGTTTAATTTCCACATATTTGTGAGTTTTCTATTTTCCTTCTATTTCTAGTTTTATTCCATTGAAATAAAAAAGGTACTCTGTATGATACCACATAGAAGATAGAGTCTCAGCTAGGATAATGAGGAAGGGAAATAGGAGGTGGGCTTGATAAATATTTAGGGCAAAATATTTAGGGCAAATAGGCAAAACGTTTTGTTTGGTTGTATGTAAATGGTAAGAGAGGGAAAGCAGAGGACAACACCCTGGGTGACCAGGTGGGCAATATTCTTCCTAATTAGAAGTTCCCCTGCTAACTTTCCTCTGGTGTCCATTCTTTTGTCATCACAAGATGGGCTGAAATATGTAATTATCTGTGTGCTTATTTATTTAGTGGTAGTCTGTCCCTCTAGGCTGAAAATGCAGTGGAGTGGAACCATGTCTGGCTTTGTTCTTCCTTATACCCCTAGCATTAGCAAATTGAGAGACACGTAGTCAGCACTGAATAAAAACTGTCCAAAAAACATACAGAATGGGAAAGTGAATACACAGGAAGAAAGGACATTTTAAGAGGTTCCTTTTTGGACGTGGTGAGTTTGACAGACTGTGCAAACATCCAGGTGGCAGTTGGAAATGAGTCTGAAAACTCAGAAGATTTGCTTTGGAGATGAGGATTTGAGAGTTACCAGCATTTAATGAAAGCCTGAAAGTGAGAAGAGCATTAGGAGCAGGCCCTGATAAAGTTCAACATTTGAAAGGATTTACTTCCTTCTACTTCTTGCCTTCTGGAAATGCACCTTCACTGTCCCCTGGCAGTTCATGGAGCAGGCGTATGATGGTTCCAGGGAGAAGCCACCCACACCTTCACGACCTTTCCAGGGAGACATCATATGACATCATATAATATCTCGCCCCCATCTGTTCTCCCCAGTCCTTTAAACAACCCTTGATTTTCAGATAATTCTGTTCCATGAAATCTCCCTGCACCGGACTATGGAACGGCAATTATTCTCAATATCCTGGACGTGAAATAGGAAATTGCTACTCTGCTTAATCAAAATGTAGAAATCTTACTCTTTCCCATTTCTTTTTCCAGTTAGATACCTTTGTTTGTTGTCTGTCCACCCTTAAGGCCAAATGAGGACTGTTTTGATACAAATACCTGTTTTCTATTACTACTTGGTTTACTATTTCTGTTTTGTTGACTGTGTGTTCAGTCACAGCAGGGTCTGTGTACTTTAACCTGGTGCCGACCTTGAAGGAATCACAGGCTATGTCAGGGCGACGGGACTTCCTGACTTTCCCAGGACCAGTCTGCTGAAAATATTCACTCTATAACCAAATGACATGTCAGACTTCAGGCTTTGCTTCAGATAATGCTCATCAAGGAAGGATCCAGGTTCCTCCTGCCTGTCCTGACATCCTTAGTTATACTGGCTTTATCCTCACACTTGTCATCTCATGGACAGGGATGTTATCCCACCACCAAGTTTTGTGTCCCCAGGAAGATGGGGCAGGAGGAGGGGGAACAAAGGAGAAAAGAAATTTCCTGTGCTAAGTCTTATCACTTCATCCCAGAATGGAAGTCCTCCCTCGTGGTTTCTACCTGCATCTCATTGACCACCTGCAGCTTAAAGGGGGCAGAGATCAAGATTGTAGCTTTTATAGCTTCTATGATAAAGCTTGGAAGGAGATGGGTGAAATGAAAGCTGAGAATTGCCAATCAAGTCTTTCACATTTAGAAATGAGCATTCATTATTATGTCTGCATATTTCCTAAAATCCTGTGAACATATCTTAAGCTAATTTACTCATGCTGATGTTGATTTCTATTTGCATAATTCTTAGAGTAATCTTATTTCAAAAATTTCCGCTCTGTAAAATATGAAAAATATTATCCATCCTTTTTTATTTTCAGCTTTGATGTCAAAAGTGAGCTAGAAAAGGAATTGAAAATATTTCTAAATAGATGCTAGTTCTGGGTGAATAAGATACATTTTTCTCCATGTTATTTCTTAAGTTAGTTCCAAGAATTTTTGCCAGTGCTGGCAAGAATTTCTTTGGATGGCAAGCAACAGTACCAAGGACAATTTTGCCTGTCTTTCCATATTTGTGCCTGCTTGGCACATTGCATAAAAATAGGAACTGATGCAGCTGTGAAGTCAGAGAACGCGTTTTATGTATGGACTTTTTTCACAGAGAAGTGCTTTGTCTCCCTCTGGTGGATAAGTGTACCTTTGCAACATCAGCGATAATTCTCAGGCAATTTTAATTTAGGACGTCCAGTGGTGCAATAATCCCAATATGTGCTGGACGTGCGCACGCCACACACACACTCACTCACACACTCATTCACTCAGACTGGTCCCTGGGCAAAACTGTCAAGTAATTTCAGCCTGATTTTGATACCCTATGTGTTTACCAAAAACTTTCTCACATATTTTGTCATTTAATTCTCTCAAGAACTTATTAAAATGAGTATTCCCTCTTCCCGTGAGTACAAACACCTGCCTAAGAACACAGAGCCCTAGAGTAAATTAGGGGCACACAGACCCTGATTTTCCCTGCATCTTTTTGCTCATTAAATCTTACTCTGCCAGAATTGGCTTCCCTCTCAACTTGTAATCTTTTCCAAAAAACTTTCTCAAATTCCCACTGACAATAGATCAATTTTAGTTATTAAAATAAGATCAAATTCTGCCTCTCACAATGGTTGACCAGATGTTTCTGCACCCTCCCCAAAAACAACTAGAAAAGTACATGCTAATGAAAGACTGAAAAGGCAAGCCAGGGAGTGATAAATAATATTTGCAATGAATATAACTGACAAAAGAACTCAGATCAACTCTTAAGACTCACTAAGCAAAAGATTGGCAGTACAAAAAAAAAAAAAAAAGAACAGGAGACTTCTTAAAAGGGAATATTGAAATAGTAACTATACAAAGCATAGCTCATCTTCATTAAGTATACAAATAAATACAAATTAAAACTACAAAGTATTCCCTGCCACACCCATCAGAATGGTAAAAATTGAAAAGACTAACAATGCTAAGTGATGGGGAAAAATTACAACTCTCATACCCCTCCCCACCTGGCCACTGGTGAGGCAGGGTGAGGAGGGGTATGAGAGATGGCATCTCCTAAGTTTGAAGATACATGGATATCTATGACACAGCAATTTCACTCCCAGGTTGACCCACAGAAAGGCATATAAGGGTGTACTCAAAGACATGTTTAAGAACATTTATGGCATTATTTATAAATAACCAAAAACTGGAAGCCTAAATGTCCTTTGATAGTAGAATGAATAAATGGTGATATAATCATACAACAGAATTCTGTATAACAACGAAAGTGGAAAAAACTATAGCTACATACATGATAAGTGGGTAACATGAAATTTTATACAAAGTCAGGCACAAGCAAAGTATATTTTTAAATTTTCATTTATATAAAGCTCAAAGCAGGCAAAATTAATCTATGGTCTTTCCATAGCTACCAATAAGATGGCTGTTTACAAACATAGTTGTCTAAAATTTTATCAGTTTAAAAGTTTTTTCCAGTTTAAAGGATCCATCATAACCATTGAGGAGTAGAGTCTTAAGTAAGACATGAAAGATGTCTCATAAGATTGTACAAAGGATGCAGCCCTCACAGGATCTAGAACGTTTATTTGCAAAAATAATCAAAGTAAAGGCCCTTATTATACTGGTGGATGCAATGAAAGTTGACATGATAAAGGCCCTTAATGGATTGGGATCCCTTATGATAAACTCTGCTGAGAGCTAGTGGGGCCAGTCAGAGACTGTTCAGAATTCTAGTCTATTCAACTGGCTTCCAAATGTACACCATATGAGTACCTTCCAGACTACAGAGACCAAGAAGAGTTTTCTCACTGATAACAAACCACGCTCTCAAAACGTAGAGCAAGATGCCTAAGAAGATCAGATAGAATATGTTTTAAAGGCTCAGGGAGATAATGCAAGTTCCTCCTGGAAAGGTGT